GGATTAGGGTTACATCCATGTAAACCCTAATACCCATGACCTTTCATTTCATAGGATCCATGGGTTAAAACTTGATGGACTATCCATGATAGCTTAGCCCAACCTAAATGAACTTGGCCCATTCTATATATATATATATATATATATATATATATATATATATATATATATATAAGAGTCCATATTTAATTAATTCCTTTTGATCACTTAATTAATTCTTGATCAATACTAATTAAATAATATGATTCCATATTAATATATTAGAACTTATAATATATTAATATAAATCATAAATATACTATTCTCAAAAGACTATCCATAAAAATTGTATCGGTGAAGTGCAACCCAAATGGACCATGCCGGGTTGGGTCAAGTATATACCAAATATAGTTATGGACTTAGACATTAATCCAACAATATCATCCTCATTGTAGTAGCCCTTGCTCTTTGGCATTGCCCAACAGATACACTCATTGAAAACCTCTGTAGCACATCTGCTTGCATCTCTAGCAATGTCATCTTGGTCTTCATGATTACATCTTTCAGGTAGTGTTTGGCTAACTAATTGCTAGTAACTAGGGAACTAAAGTGATAATTACTAGCACACAAATGAATTTCATTACATAATTTAATCTGGAATGTCCTTTCATTGTACTTCCATCCAGGTGCAACCCTAAATGTAAACTGCATTTTTTATTGTCATTGCTTTCACTGCCACACTTAGCTATAACCCTCACTTTATCACTTTTTTAAAAATAAAGTTGGTATCCTCCATGGAATGCATAGTTAGTTAAAGCAAACCTGATTTGAGCAGGGGATTCATAACAGTCTCCTAATCGGGGCCTCATCTCTTTCCAATCAACATTAGGATCATGCACCCTATACTCGACACCAACATCTTCACCGTCCTCATCTAAGTGGGCATGCTCATTTTGTTGGCCACCAGGAATGTCTCCATCATCTACCATTCCATCAATACTCCTCCTTAATATGTTTTCGTCACACAATAAGTCAAGAAAAGGATCATCACATAGTTTTGAGGGGGCTTTGAAAGCTTCTTCAGAAAAATCCAAGAAGCTAAAGTCAAATGCTTCATCATCAAAGTTAGAGTCTGGAAAGTATTTCTTCTTAGGAGCTTAGGCCCTTTAGGCTTCTTAGTTCCAGAAGTAGAGGCCATCTATTTCATCAAAAAGATAAAAATAAATAAAAAACTTCTTAGTTCAAACTTGGAACTCCATACTCCATTGAAGAAGATAACCACCATCAGAAGCATCAATTTCTTGTTTCCATACACGTACCTTTCTATTCCACCTTACTTCACCAACGATTTCAAAGCTTCAAAATGCGAAATCGGGGACTGTGAAACCCTTCTTAGCGTCAAACCCTTGTCGAATACATGAAACCCTTTATCAGTGATGGTTCGTAAAAGGTGATGGCTAGAGAATATGTTAGTGTGACCGAATAAAGCATGTTATCTGCTCGTCATCGGTTACTAGCTCTCAAGTGATAATTCCATGAAAATATCATGTCTACGGTCAACGAAAAATTAAAATCAAGGTTTTCTCTAATTTAGTGACAAAAATATAGTACTTTTATGATATTAGTCATTCATTATAGATAATCATATAAAAGGTCATATGAACAAGTTGAGTAACCGATAACTTTTATATCAATTAAAATGATGGATAACATATATTTCTAATGAAATAATAGTTTACAAAGTAAGTTACCATCCAAATTGATTTATATGTAAATAAATTCGTCCAAATTTTATAAGAAATTTTTTTCCGAAATTAATAAATAGCACAAAGGTATTGTTTCTGTAAAATGCAATTCACCCCAACCATAAAATACAATCTCTTGGAGAAAATGATCCACCATGAAAATGAATTTCAACTTTGATGGAGTCTGTGAAATAATGAAAACCGTAACAGGTGTATGGTGATCGAATCACCCATCAAAAAAGTTTTACACCATACACACATTTATAATTCAACCACACAAAAGACGAACACAAAAAGCACTATACAAAAAGGTAAAATGTCTTCACGGGTAACAACATATCAGCTCCAGTTCAAAAGTTTCTCTCTCTCTCTCTCTCTCTCTTCGGTCTTCATTGTCATGACTCATAACAACTCTAAATTTAGAAATGTCAAACACCATATCTTCTTCTTCAATCCCAAAATTTAGGTTGGATCTAGAGAGAGAAAGTCGCTGAAGGAAGCTATGTCTGTGGTGGAGTCAAGCTCTGCTACTACAGCGGATCAGAGTAACGTTAAAGGGGTTCTTACACATGGCGGTCGTTATGTTCAGTATAATGTGTACGGTAATCTTTTCGAAGTTTCCCGGAAGTATGTTCCTCCGATCAGACCTGTTGGTAGAGGCGCTTATGGAATCGTTTGGTAAGACTCGAATTCTGTTGGTAGTTTTTGAAACGTTTAGCATGATTTGTAGTTATTATATTCGGTGATGTTGATCGATTTTGTTTGGGGAATCGTGGAATTGCGTGGTGTAGTTATGGCGATTTGTATTTGATCATCATCGTAAGGCTCTTCGAAGTAGTGGTTGATGATATTAGGGTTTATCAGCTATGGATTTGCAGGAAACTTGATCTTATAATCCTATGTGATTGCTTCGATTCATTCATTTAGCTACATTTTGATGGTGATTTACGGGTAACTTGAGCTTATAATCATTAGGGTTTAACCTCTTAATTTTGTAGAATCTTGAGCACGAGATCCAGATTTAGAATCATTTACTGTTGATTATAAATAGGAAAATAGTTAGGTGTTGTCTCTTTTTGACTTCTGGACACAGCCAAAAACCATGGCTTAATGTATTAAGATAGCAACTGTTTACCTATTTACTATCATGTTGAAATTGATGGATGTTGTGAAGTTTTTTGGAATGTAAGGATAAAATGGTCTTTTAGTCTAGGAAAGTAACGTACCTTATCTATTCAACACTTTATGCAGACAAACATCTTTACCCATTATATGACTTAATCTGAGTTTGGAGTAAGGAGGTTTTCCCACATTAAGTCCTAAGTTGTTACAAATTTGTCTGTCATTTTTTCCTTCCATTTTCCTAAATACATTTTAACATCACAAAATGGAAAAAGAAAAAAAGAAACAGGGTCTTATGTTTTGATTACCGATATTGTATTGAATAAAGTTGACTTTTTTTTTTTTTTTTTTTTTTCAGTGCTGCAACGAATGCAGAGACACGTGAAGAAGTTGCCATAAAGAAAATTGGGAATGCTTTTGACAACAGAATAGATGCCAAAAGGACTCTAAGAGAAATTAAGCTTCTTCGTCACATGGAACATGAAAATGTGAGTTCACTTTTCAAAACTCCATTTTGACCCCTGAAAAAGTTTACTTGTTTTGATGGTATTGATATGGGTTGAAGGGTATTTACGTGATTTGAGGTGGGTACAGGTTATTGCAATCAAAGACATCATACGGCCTCCACAGAAGGAAAACTTCAATGATGTTTACATTGTTTATGAGTTGATGGATACGGATCTTCATCAAATAATACGCTCCAATCAACCTCTGGCTGATGATCATTGTCGGGTAACTATGTCTTCATTTTTAAATTACAAAAATGGTCCCTATGCTTTCTGATTTTGACCATGTTTAGTCCAAAACTGAAACTTGATGTTTTGATAAATTGATGATGGCAGTATTTTCTTTACCAAATTCTAAGAGGACTGAAGTACGTTCATTCAGCACACGTGTTGCATCGTGATCTAAAACCAAGCAACTTACTTCTGAATGCAAATTGTGACCTAAAAATTGGGGATTTTGGGCTCGCAAGAACCACTTCAGAAACGGATTTCATGACCGAATATGTTGTGACTCGATGGTATCGCGCCCCTGAATTGCTCTTAAATTGTTCCGAGTACACGGCCGCCATTGACATCTGGTCCGTTGGCTGCATCCTCGGTGAGATCCTCACGCGACAGCCCTTGTTTCCAGGCAAAGATTATGTTCATCAGCTCAGACTTATCACAGAGGTAATTTTACCCATTATCATTCAGGAAACAAATCAAGAATATGAAAGTAAATTTTTTTAGATGTTGGGGTTTCACTGACTTTTTTTTTTTTGGTTATTAGCTGATTGGTTCACCTGATGATGCAAGTCTTGGGTTTCTAAGAAGCGATAATGCAAGAAGATATGTGAGACAACTTCCTCAGTATCCAAGACAACAATTCTCTGCAAGATTCCCAAATAAATCCCCTGGAGCTTTAGATCTGCTTGAAAAGATGCTTGTATTTGACCCAAACAGGCGTATTACAGGTGCTTTTACCATTTTTCCCTTTTCATTTTTTTTAATATACTAAATCAACATATATCTATAAATATTGCAGTTGATGAGGCGTTATGTCATCCGTATTTGGCACCTCTTCATGAAATCAACGATGAGCCGGTGTGCCCTCATCCTTTTAGCTTCGACTTTGAGCAGCCTTCATGCACCGAAGAACACATCAAAGAGCTTATTTGGAGGGAGTCTGTCAAATTCAATCCTGACCATCCAAATCACTGAGATCTCATCTCATCTCTTGTACACCTTACACCAACAAAATTATATGCTAGAATTGCTCTGTATTATCCCTCCTCTCTCCTGTCTCCTCGCATAATCTTCTTTATTACGACAACCGATACACCATAATAAAACATAAAGGGCTTATTGGTTTTTTTTTTACTTTTCACATCATTTTTTTTTTTAAAAAACTTTCTGATTCCATTTCTTGTAATATTCAGTCTTCTTATGAAAGCCAGAGTTTACCCTCCCTCATTGCTTCCCCTTCTCAAATCTCAATGTTTGATGACTGCCAGTTACTTGTTGCTTATTTTTTTTTCTCCTATTCCTGACCCAATGTACTATTGTGACTGCATAAACTACAACCTTAAATGCATCTTGTTTGACCAGCTGTGAATGAATGATATGTTTGACAACCAACATTTCATAAATGTTTGGAGGCATACTACTAGTAACAACATCAATTATATGGCATAACAGCATTTCATAAATGTTTCCTTCCACGACAATCAACAATGAAATTTGTAAACCATAACTTAGATTTGACTTGTGATAGCAACTTCTATAAGTTGTTCAACTTGGTTGCTTCCAAGTATGTACATGAAAGAAATTTATATTACATTTACTTAATATGTTGTCATTTTAGGATGAATTAAGTACAATTTCTAAGTAAAAAGCTCTACGTATATATATCCATGAATTCTCTGTGTTATGTGGAATAAAATTATATCATATATATAATTATATATACAGGATGAATAATAGCCAAAGTTTAACCAAGTTTCTTGTTGCCCCAAAATCCTCTACTAGGCTTTAGAAGTTGTTTGAATAATGCCATCTTTGGTACATTCCAATGCTCCACATGCCTGTAAATAATTTACCACTAAATAAATACTTCAACTAAATCGGCTTTTCCAAGCAATTTGCATTCTTTGAAGGGGTCTCATTATATATATATATATATATATATATATATATATATATATATATATATATATATATATATATATATATATATATATATATATATATAAGAATCGTTTGAGTCATTAATTATATTTATTACCTGCATACTTTTCCTGATTCTTTGCTAATGTAATACTCCGTGTAACCTGTAGCTGCAATGAAATTCGGTTGTCAAGAAAAACAATAAGACCAAACAGTATACCGACGACGAACATCATCGTGGTATACGTGGCCACGAAATCCCGACGTGCACACTATCCCGACCATTCGTGGTGGGGTGTGCTCATTGTAGGTTGTGGTGCGTACCATGAAACCAAAAGCCCAATTAGGACACCTCTCTCGATTTGGAACGGAAATAGCCGTTCAACGTCTAATTTTTTTGTAAAAATTAATTTTTTTTAAACAACATTTTTTACCTATAAATACCAGACTTTTAACATTTTTCTCTTACACCATTCTTTTCTTTCTTTATACACAAAATACACACAACATTTTCACAACCATAAAAAATGGATCCCAACGAAAATACTCCCCCAAACTTTAGAAATTGCAAACCCGATAATATTTTTGCGTTAGATACCACCCATCGCCAATTCTCGATCATGGAATCACTTCAAGCGGGTTCGTCGGCTTCAGGGCTAGTGTTATCAATCATTTTAGAGAGAAATTTGATTGATATGTCCACATTCAAGAAACCAGGGCGGAGATGTTGAGTCGGGTGGAGAAAAAATGATAGAAGCGTAAACGTCATTCCAAGAAGCGCAAACAACGCTTCAAACAAAAACTGACATGGAGATTTTGAAGATGAAAGCGGACGATCTCGAAGGCGAATATTTGGAGATTTTTCTCGCGGTGAAAGAGTCGGTTTGAACCCGCTATAGGAATTAGGGGTAGTTTTTTTAGTTATATTTGGTATTTTTAGGTGTTTTATTCTTTTTTTTTATTTTAATTAATGTAATTTTTTTTAATGTAATGTGGTATTTTAAGTTAACGAACTAGTGCTTAAAAAAATGTTTTAATGTATTTTTGAATTAAATTTAATTAAAAAAATGATGTGTAGTGGAGTGGTAGTAGTGGTATCCCATAGGTTTAGTGGTAGCTAGTGGTGATGATGTGGCACACACCACTATAGTAGTAGAGACGGATATAACAGATGGCCTAAGTCAACAAAATTAACTTGTTTTACAAGTGTTGCTAAAAAATAACTCTTTCAATGATGGGAGATGTGTATGTGGGTGTGTGGGTAAGATTCCGCTTTATTTACATATGACATTTAGGGTTATTCATTATTTGCATAAAACCGAATTGTCCAATTAGACAATTTGGATTGGACTATTTGGTTCGAATAATCGGATTTTTGGATTGGTTTTCAACAAAACCGAATTATTATTTTGGATTGGTTTTGGATTATAATATTATAATATAAGAACTGAATGATCCAAAAAAATTGAATAACAATATATATATATATATATATATATATATATATATATATATATATATATATATATATATATATATATATATATATATATATTCAAGTAGGTTTAAAAAGTTTCACCTAATACAAAAGACTAAACTGCACAAATGGTCCTTGTGGTTTGCTCAAAATTGCTACTTTGGTTCAAAAAAGTTTTGACTAGCACCACAAGTCCAAAGTTTTCATTTTGTTGCGACTTTGGTCCAATTTGATTTAAAAATATTTAAAATGACGGATTTACCCTTGGTATTTCCCTTTTTTGTTTTTTATTTATTTAAATGTTTTTCTGATTAAAAATAAAATAAAAAAGAAACCCCCTCTCTCATGCGTGTGCCCCTTTTTCTCAAAAATCGATCCCTCTTCACAATCGATCCTTTTTCTCTCTCTCTTTGAGAATGCCTACAATACACCCCCATCTTCAGGCCCTGACCTTCATCAACATAACCATTTCACCATCGCTTGCCTTCATAATCTTCCACCATACTTCATCTTCGATCGGAGGGGAGATAGATTGGAAACAAGGATGAAGCAGCAAAACCATCACCGCCATTGTTATGCGCCTCCCTGCTCCTGCAATCGGACCGCCACCTCTTTACGAAACCCTAGTGTCGAGGAAGAAGGATTCTACATCAACGACGAAGAAGAAGAATCATTATTGAAAACCCTAGCTCATCCCTTTCATAGATCTTATATCATCGGAGAAGAAGGATTATCTGACAACGCTAAATCTATTCAATATATGTTCGATCTTCGTCTCCAAATGTGTATCTCTTTTCTTTTTCTTCTATCTCGATTTTTTTCCTGTGGATGAACAACAGTGGAAGGACGTTGTGATGGATTTTAAAGCTTCAGTTAGGTGGAACAATTTTTATGTTTTAGTTTACAGAAATCACAATGTTTGTGTGTGTTTTTTCATTTATGGAATTTGATTTGTGTGTGGGTATTCATCACCAAACAATCGATTTGTATATGGGTGTTCTTCTCTTCTCCTCTTTCGCTGAATCGGGTGAACACTAGGGTTTCCGATGACATCGATGTTCAAAAAAGAGACCAGTGAGAAGGGTGGTGGTGCTAGGGTTTCATAAAAGTGGCATTTGAAACAAAATTGGTGATGGTGATGTGTGAATCAAACCAACGACGATGGTGTATGAATTGTGATTTAAGATATAATAGATATAGAGAATGGTGGTGTGGGAACCAGATCCGATTCCAGATTCAGAAGAGGAGTTCCTCAGTCCTCACCTCCACTGGTGGTGGTTTGGGTTCTTCAAATGGTATCATAGGGTGAAGCATTTTGACACACACAGAGAGAGAGAGATCTCATTTTTATTTTTTTACTTTGTTATAAAATATTATAAAAATAAAATAGAAAATGAAAATTTTCTTTTTTCTTTTAATCAAAATAAATATTTAAATAATAAAAAAAACTGAAAAAGAAAAATATAGGGGCAAAATAGTCATTATGAAAAGGTTTATAGAAAACTGGACTAAACTCGCAACAAAATGAAAACTTTGGACTTGTGGTGCTAGTCAAAACTTTTTTAGACCAAAGTGGCAATTTTAAGCAAACCACAGGGACCATTTGTGCGGTTTTGTCAATACAAAACATATATATGCATTTTCTCTCAAAAGTTGTTTATCTATAAAATATTAAACTATAATCTACCTTCTTAGTAATTTTTTATAAATTTTAAATTACAACTAAATAATTTGTTTTGCTTAAAATTGGGTGATATGATAATTATATGTCATTTTAAAATGATCCGGTTTTTAAAAACTAAATTATAAAAACCGATCCAATCGAATTGTAATTGGATTGGATCAGATTGAATTTGAATTTAGTTTGGACTATTCTAATCAATGTTTTGAAAACCGAAATCAATTTGGATTCACTTGATTGGATCGGATCGAACCGATCCATCCAAACGAACAATGACATGTCGTGACAATTCTATACATGACCAACAACTTTAGATTTGACATGATATGACACTATCAGCTCTGGAGATGATATGGTAACACAATACAGTTGGTGTTGAATACATTGAGTATGAACTCTTATTCAAAAGTTGCTATTTTTTATCTCATACAAAAAAGTGGAATATGGACGTGTTATTGAGCTCTTATATGTGCAAAAAACGAGAATTCTCCCCTGATCATCTTTATAAAAAAACAGTCAGACTCTCCTAGTAGATCAAAAGATTAATGCTATGGTTGCAACTCAACATTTCACTGATACTACCCTAATCTTAATAACATTTTTTCATTTTATCCCTTTTAATGGTATTGCATAATTATAGGTTTATTTTTTTACTAATTAATCTAATTTATTAAATATGCAAAATGGATAAAGATACCTGAAAGAATAGGTTTCCATGGAAATGACATGGTGCAACTGAAACGCCAATGCCCAATTCCTTTATCCTACAACACAAATGATTCAAAATCCATGCTTATTACACACTGAATTACTAGGAATGTATGAAGTTGAAGAGAAATACCTCAAAATCCTCCCATTTCATGAGCTTCATGTTTGATTTCTCAATAAGAGACCCAAAATTTGTGCAATTTCTTTTGAATCGAAGTAGACCTTTAAATGAACCTGCTGGATCTGCAAATTCACAGTCGTCTTCATATGCGTCTAGAGTAAGAGCACCTAAAATCACACATAAACTGCAATTATTAAAGCCTGATGGATAAATCTAAGAATTTTGTACCCTAAAACTTAATTCGATGAAGTAAAATGGGGCTTATCTACAAAAAATTGCTTTTCGTCACCAAATTCGGTACCAAATTTGAAATTCTCGGAAACTGGAGGTATATAAACTAAATGGAGTACGATTTAATGTTTACCTGTGACGAAATACGACCTCTGATAATCCTCTTTGATAGTTTCAACGATAATTGATCGATCAATTACTCCGACTCTATCTCCAGCAAGCTCGATGCCTCTATTGGCTCCGTCATCGATGTTCTCTGGTGAACGGAAAAACGAGGCAGCAATTCCGAGAAGCTCGGAGCCATACCAAGCGGTTTTGAGCAGTAGGTTTCCGGACTCGGAGACTTGACCGGTGGCGGATGAATCGGTACTTGTTGTGTTATCTCCTCCTCCGGTGCACTGGAGTTTCGTGAAATTCAGGTAGCTTTTTGATCGGAAATTGTTGAGAGACTGGTGGCCGGAGAAGTGGTGAAGAGTGACGGAAGTAGTAGGCGAGAGAGTGGTCGCCATTTTAGTGAAAGAAAGGAAGGATCCATGTTGACGGTTTTTATGGTTGTTATTGTTTTGCTTAAAAAATACAAAACAATCATTAAAATATGTAAAAGATATTAAAAGATCATTAAACTATAAAAACACCAAATGTAACAAAAGGAAGGAGATTAAACGACCAAAAAACTCTTCTGAATTCTCTGTAGTAGTCATACTAAGCCCCGTTTTGGTAGTGTGCGATTTGAAGGGTTATTAGTGAAAAACCTAATTATTTCGTTGTTGATGAAATACCTACATCGTCTAGAAAAAATGATGACTTAAGAGTATCCATTTCAGTTGAGGGCATTCCCTTCGAGTATGTCCTATAAGATGGGCTAAATCTACCTTTTTAACAACACAATGAATGATAAATTTGTAAGTAAACTTTGTCATATTGGTGAGCCAAGGAAGATGTAGGTGAATCCGATATAGTTTGTGAGCATGTAAATTCTGAAAAGCCTTATTTTCTTATCCATGATCCTAACCAACACCGGAAGCTAATGAAATCAATTGTAGGAATGAGATTTGAATATCCAAATCAATTGAAAGAATGCTTACAGAACCATCCAATGTCTAATGGTTATGGCAAAAAAAATATACTAAGGTGGGTTTAGGGTTTAGCCTAAACTCTAAACCCTAAATATTAGAAGCTTTGTAGACATGATTTCGTTGTACACATGTGTTCAAATAAAAACTTGTGGTAACCGATTACCTCAGCTAAACGGAAAAATGACATAAAAAAGTAACAAAGTTTTCAAAATGTTCAAAAAATATCATTATTTTTTTAGTACAAAAATACCCTTGAAGTATATCATTTGTACACAAAATAACAACGAAGTACACATTTTAGTACAAAAATACCATTGAAATTTCCAAAATGTTCAAAAAAAGTCATTGTTATTTTTTCAAAGCATCTTTTATTAACTTCGTTGTTTCCGGATCATATAGAATACGGTCATCGGAGATTAGTCACCGGCATACCAGTTCACACCAGTTGTGTACTCTCTTTCATTTTATCACTCGATCAGTTTGTATCTAAATCCATATTTAGGAATTCTCATGACATAACGTCAAACTATTTTCTCCTTTGTGTCTCTCGTGTTCTGCAACACTAATGAACGGCTAATATTGATGTATAATATGTGCATCTATATAACGTATATATGTTTTAGGTTTGAGGCATATAATGTGATCGGGAAGCAAGAATGTTTAACTAAGGTTATTACCCACTTAATTCTCTTGTTACCATAAGAATGATCGAGTGAAAGAATGAAAGAGATTTGCATAACTGTTGTGAACTGATATGACAATTCATGATCTCCGGTGACTGTGTTCTACATAATCCGACAACAATGTAGTTAACAAAAAGTACAGTATTTTTTTAAATATTTTTGAAACTTCATTACACTTTTAAAAGTCATTTTTCCATTTAACTGAAGTATCTAGCTACCACAAGGTTTTATTTGAACACATGTGTACTTCGTTGGTATTCTGTATACAAATAATAATTTTAATGTTATTTTTTGTACTAAAAAAACAACAATGGTATTTTTTGAACATTTGGAAACCGGGTAACCTACAATAGCTGGTTAAATGGTATTTTGTGTATTAAAAAAAAAAAAAAAACCATGGTCATTTTTGTATATTTTTGGAACTTCGTTAGCTTTTTAAGTCATTTTCTCAAGGTTTAAAATTTAAATTAACACAATTTGATAACTAGTAATCAAATCGACATTTGCATGGTCAATTATATCAATAATCATTTATATAAAATAGTCGTTATGTATACCGTTTATCACAATTTTAAATTAAAAATCTTAAAGTTAAAATTATATAATATTCAAGATAGAACTGATCTTTAGTTCAAATCTCACAAGTTTCATCTTTTAAAAGGACTAAACTGCAAATTTGGTCCCTGTGGTTAGCAAAAAAGTGTGAATAAAGTCCAAAATCTTTTCGACCTGCATGGATGGTCCAAAATTGAAAATATTTTGTGGTTTTGGTCCGTGATAAAGTTAAAATGACTACTTTACCCTTTTCATTTTATATTTAGCTTTTTAATATTTTTTTACTATTATTATAATTCAAAAATATAAAAAGGAATTATGAAACCCCCACCCCTACCTCTCAAATGTACCCTCCTATTATTTCTCTCTCTCTCTCTCTCTCTCTCTCTCTCTCTCTCTCTCTCTCTTTCCCCCTCTCTCTCTCTCTCTTTGACTTTCTCTCTCTGACTCTCTTTCTTTCCCTTTGACTTTCTCTTTCATCTTCTTCTTCCTCACATTCACCTACAAACTAAAAACTCCATACATACATATCTTAGAGGATGCTATCAAAATTAAACTCTAGCTTCATTTTCAAAGGTTGAATCCAATCAAGTTTTGATCTGTATGATATCTCTTTAACTTTTTCTCCCATCTTGTTACCTGCAAATCAGACCTGTCTTCTTCTTCCTTACATTTCACCAGAAAATCAGACCTAGATGAAAAATAAACACCCAAAACATAATATAAGTAAATCAACATGGTGATGGCAATTTACATCGGTGGAAGAATCAAACACCCAAATCAAAAAACGTAAATCAACAAAAATCAGTTGCAATGGTGATTGTTGTTGTAGTAGTGGTGGCGTTCGGTGGTTGGTGGAGACGATGATTTAGGCCATTTCCGGTGGTTGAGGAAAAAACCAAAACAAAATTGAAGTTGCAGGTGGTTGAGGAAGAAGATGATTAGGTATTTCAATTTGTTGAAATCATCAATGGCAGCAACTTGGATTCTCTATAGCTCTTCAACTTGTCAATGCCTGCTGGAATTGTTTTGTGTCTTAAGGAAGAACAAATGGAAGAAGTTGGTTGTAATTGTCCGTTGGAACTTCTCTCTTGGTATGTAATTAGGTCAAACCCCTTTTTTCCTCCTTTCATATATATGTTTTGACTTCAATTTGATACCATTGATCGAACCTAAATGTGAATTGTTTCTTATTCACTTTTGTACTGAGAATAAAAAGTTGGGGAAAAGAAAGTTCAAAACGAATCTTTGAAGGTGCACTGGTACAATTTTGAATTATAGAGGTGAGAGAACAATGGAAGCGATAAGGGAAAATCGAGAGAAGTGGGTGGTACGATTTTAAAATGGGTGGGAGATAGAGAGGTGGAAACAGGAGGGTTTGGTGAAAGCAAGTGTGTGAAGCATGTGTTGGGTGTTAGTTGCAGAGAACGAGGGAGGAAGAGGGAATGAAGAAGATGATGAGAGAGAGAAAGGGATATACACTTTTTATTTATTTTTTTATTTTATAAATATTCAGTAAATATTAAAATAATGTGAAAAAGAAATTAAAAGAGTAAAATAATCCTTTCAACTTTTTCAAGGATCAAAACCACAAAAAGTTTCTGATTTTGAACCAACAGTGCAAATCCAAAAAATTTTGGATTCTATCCACATTTTTTTCTAACCACAGGAACCAAATTTGCAGTTTTGTCTTTTTAAAAGAGATTAATAATCAAATTCATCGTTTATACTTTGTAGCACAAGTAACTTGGAAGTTCTTTTTTAACATCTTTATGTTTTAACCAAAAACATATTTAAGTTAAAAAAAATGTTGGATCGTCCTTTTTTGAAATTTTTTTTATACCAGGACTATGTTTTAGACTTTCTCACATTTTCATATTATTTATTCATGTAACAAAAATCTACACACAAGATCTCAGTTGGCTCAAAAATAACATGTTCAGAGTTTGAAAAAAAAAAAAAGATAGCTTATTTAAGACTTGTCAACAGTGTATGAATTTTGTTATAGTTTCTCTCCTTATGTACTTATTTGTTCCACGTATTTCTAAATTCTATCAACACATCTTCTAGCATTAGTATATTAATTCACTTTTACATTAATACGCTCTTCTTTTGCAAAAAGCCTCGTTAAAGCAGTCTCTCTATTATCGGTTGCAGATAAAACTGTCTACATCTAACCTTCCTTTATCCCCGAAATCGGAAAATTAACACAAGTAATTTTGCTATTTTCCACTAAAAACCAAGGGTCATTTTTACACTTTTGGAGAATAATTTGTTAATATATAAAATTTGATTGTTTACATTTAGTTCCAACATTTTCAAACTCACCCATGGCAAAAATGATACAACTGCATAATCCTCAACAAATCATGTTTATGACACCTGGCAGAATCGAAAAGTTCCGTGGAAGAAATCCTAAATGTTCCCCATCGGATTGCACGTAAATATTGTTTGTTCCCTCCACCTCCTCTACTTCGATCGAAAAAGCACTACAATTGAAACAAAATAATTATTTATTTATCTAAAATTACGATTTTACCCTCCAACCATATCATGAAAATTCCAACAACTTTATACTTATGAAATATTCGCAATAATTAGTTTTCTGGTGTTTCGTGTTCGGGTAACCTACTTTTGCTTTGTATAATCTGATTATTTAAGGGTCGGATAATCAATTTCATATTTAGATGTATCTAAACTTATTATCGCAAGGTCGAGTAAATTACAAATTTGGTCCCTGTGCTTAACTCAAAATGACAAGTTTGGTCAGATTTTTGAGATCTTCCTGAGACGTCATCCTTTAAGTTTGCATTTCATTGTGGATTTAGTTCCTTTGACAATGATATGTAAAAAATTGGAGAAAACTTGAGATTTTGAGTAAAGCTTAGGGACCAAATACGAACACCACATAAATAATCTCTCTAGATTTTGTTACTAAATATGGAAGGGAATAAAAACTTGTCGATTTTTTTTTTTTTTTGTCAATTACGACGGAAAAAGAAATAAATAGCTTTTTTTTTCATTAAAAATGATGTTTTTAGACTTAAAAAAAAAAAAAAAGATTTACCTTCTTGACAAGACATTATTGACTGATAAATGTGTCCCGTTGTATAGCTTATGTAACTTCATAAGAAAGTCATACCATTTGAAATCCTGAAGTATCACCACCTGATAAAGAAATACCAATGTAAATGAAAACATATTTCAATTCTTGCATATAGCCCTATATTAAATGCAAAAAGCACAACTTAATAGATAAAGCCAGAGAAAAGATGCTTTCCCATTAATTCGTAACTATTTACAAATCAATTTGCCCTAGTTTATTTTTTCCTCTTCCATCTCCCCAATTGTGTCGTCATTTACAGAAATATTTTTTTTTATCCATTTGCAACTTGAGGCATGTTTCTTTTAGTTTTTGGATTTAATGAAACAAGTAAATGACCATTTTACCCTTTTGTTTAAAAGTGATTGAAAAGAAAGAGAAATGGACCTCGAAATTTCCATTTGAAGGATGAGCATTGGGAGTGATCCTCATTCCACCACCAAAGAATTGTGCATTTCCAATGCATAGAGCCGTTACCTTTGGATACACTTCCCACTCCCCATCATTCACCTAAAATAAAATAATTCAGTTCATATCATCTTGTTAGATTAGATTGCAACTTTTCTCTCACCCAAAAACGTAATAAAGCATTCGCAATCATGAACCTCAACTATAGCTTTTTGAATCGCCGCATCAGCTTTCTACTAACGTTATAAAACAAAACCCTATTAACTTGAACTTTCTCCGATCATTGACCACTTTTGAAAGGTTTTTTTTTTTTTTTAATTAACTAATTTACCCTCATTTTTGTGAAATGTTTTGTAAATCCCCTTTATCTAATTTGTTAACTTTTAAGCACATGTAATGTTGAAATAAAACATAACTATAGTTGACTATGTTGGGTCTTTTTTTGAAATGAAACAAATTAAGTAGTCAGGAAATAATAAGGCTTTGAAGGTTAAATATAATTAAGTGAGTAAAATGGAATATGATTGAGTAAAAAGGGGTTAATTGTACCAAAAAAAAAAGCATTTAGTAGAATAAAAATGGTTGATAATATTTACCCTCTACAATGATTTAAAAAAAAAAAAACAGTTTATGGGGTTTTGATCTAAATAAAAAAAAAAAAAAAAAAACTCCGATTGGAGATGGAGGTATGTGATTGGGCAACTTTTGTCCCACTGAATTACTCATATGATTAAAATTTAAAAATAGCCCTAGAAAGTTTGTCTAAATACTAACTTTGATCTTTAGGTCTTGATTGTGATGTCCAAAAAAGGCTTGCAATGCACCGATTACATAACACAAACTCCCAAATCTTTTGTATTTAGATGCATGAAACCCTGCTTTTGCACTCCTGAAATTTTACATAACATAAAATGGGTTAACCATGAGAAAAATGCCTGATTTTCTTTTTCTTTTTTTAATGCATGATAGCTTGTTTTGAAATTTTATTTAACCAAAATTCTTCTTCTGATAAATGGAAGTACATTGCTATTTCTTGCTTTTAGTCCTAAAATAAATTCTCTTTTCTTTATTTCCAAATACCTCTCAATTTATAAGAGCATCAATGTGGTTACATAATGAGGTTTGTTCTGATAATTTTAAAGGCTAATTAACACACTTACAAATGAATATCAGCAACATTTATGAAGTAATGCAAATCTCCACCTTCTTTAGAGATTACTCCTACATCAATTCGTGATCTTGACCCTGCAGTTGACTTCCACTCAAAAATTCAGAAAAATGTACATATATATTAGAGAATAGTAGAAAGTCACACCCAAAAGAGGAATCACAACCTTTAACTATGCGTTCAATGGCATCAACAGGATCATTTGTCCTAAAAAAATTGAAAATTTGTTCAAAATATTAAGATGGTGATTGATGTGAATGCCAGATACATTGAAGAAACCAATGGAAGAAGTACTAACCAGCCAAATGTTCTTGCAAAATCAGATCCAGTTCCCAATGGGATTAACTACAAATGCATAGGAATAAAGGGCTAAATGCAAGAAATAGCAACATACTTTCATTTCATTCTATTATAGCATTCTACTTTCAAGTTTGTTTTTTTCTTATTAAGACATTATACTTTGAAAAATCTACCCAATTATAGCAATGAAAACTGACATTGCTATAACTGGGTAGATTTATCAAAGTGCAATGTTGTAATAGAAAGACTTGAAAGTAGGATACTTGTAATAAAAAATAAAAAAAAAAAAAAAAAAAAAAAAAAAAAGACATGCAATTAAGCCATTAATAAAAGTAATTGGAAAATCAAAATTTTGATTTTTATAAATTAAAGTTCTATGCAATAACTTACTCCAAGAGACGTTGTACGTGGAGCTTTCGAATCATGTTTAGTAACTGGTTTTCCACCCCAAAAGAATCCATTAACAACCTAACAAAATTAAAAGCCTCAACACGTTATAATTCTTAAAATAAATCTATGACCACAACCAACTTTACCATTTTACCCCTTGTAGTGTACTTATGAGAGAAATGTGTATTACATATCATGCTTGTTCTACATAAGGGGGATTGTGGTGAGTGTGATGATAATATTGGTGGTATATATATATATTATATTTGATAAAAAGAATATATATTATTCTGAAGAGAAATTGTACCTCGTGAAGAGTCCCATCACCTCCAACTGCCACAACTGCATCAGCACCCTCACGTATTGCCTGACAACATTTTGTCCATTTAAATTTTTGAATAATCTTACATACATGATTTTAATTTTTAATGCAAACATAAAGACACAAAATTCAAAACATGATTACCTCCCTTGTTATATCTATCGCATGTGATGGACCCGAAGTCAAAGATTCGCATATCTATCCAAAAATAGAAAAAAGTCAACACATATTACAAGAAGAAATCATCGAAGCACACCAATCACAAGCTTTCTAGGACTATTTTCAACGATTAGAGAAGGCATTCATGTCTTTTGTGTGAGACAAAAATTTGCAAAATTTGTCCCATTAACACAGTACAACATCATCAAGTTTCATCAAGTCTTGTGTAACAAATGGGGCGTAAAGTGTGAACTCTACAACATGACTCTTAGGTTGTGTTTGATAGACTAGAAGAAAAGCTAGCTTTTGTCTGATAAGCTGGTTGATAAAGTAATAGCTATTGGTAGAAGTTAGATGACAAATGTAAAATGACATATAAAGGTATGTCAATAAGCTATCTCAAATATCTTTTTAAAAAGTTAGCTTATAAACTACTTAATATTCATCCATTCATTTTAGTAAAACTGTAAGAAAACTCCTGAAAGCATCCAATAATCAAGTGAATCGTTCTTCTAAGTTCTAATTACCCCTTAGAGATACAAGTAAATCTGTGTTTATTCTATTTCTTTTCCCTTTAAATTTCATAATTCGGCTTTCAATGATCTATAAGGCCTTGTTTACATTGAAGACATTCATGAACGAGCTCACACACACACAAAACAAACTTAATTTCTTAAAATCACAGCTAATGCTTAATCTAGCAACACGCAGAATTTGTAAATCCATTAGATGATGAGTTTACGCTAGAAGAAATTAGCAATAAAAAGCTGATCAAAGTCTCACATTACAATCGCTTCCAAGGCGAGACCTAAGATACGGCAGCAGCTTCTTCCATTCTCTCCCCGTCCGACCATTAGCACCTTAAAAAAAAATCAATTTCATCAACAATTTACACGATCATGATCTACAAAGGTAAAAAAGTTTATTTAAAGATTGAGATGCTAACCTTGAGGATTGACGATAAACACGATGTCACGCCGACGAGAGGAGGAGGATCCTGGAGAGGTTGCGGCGGAGATATCAGAAGCTGAAGCTTGTTCGGCTCGTAGAAACGAGGGTTTCGCCATTGACACCACCGCCATGCCTAGACAAACCATGTCTAATTTATTACTGAGTTCTTCTTGATTTGCGTGACTGTGTGTGTCAGTGTGCGTTAATGGCGATTATTTATGAAGGGGGCGTGCGTGTGAAGATAGCATAGATGTTAATGGCGATTATTTATGAAGGGGGCGTTTGATTTTGACTTTCTGTACTTATCTGTTTTCTTCAATTCTTAAAATCCACATTCGTGTCTTGGAAAAACCCAATGAGCCTCCCAATTTTTGCAAAGAGTGTTTCGTAGTGTTGGATACGAACATATAAAAACGAAAATTAGTATTAAAAATTAGATCTCGATTCAGCTTTTGTTGGGTTGAGATTTGGTGATTCAAGGTCAAACTAGTTATTCTATCTTTCAAACTTGAGAGTTGAGACAACGTGTGTATATATATATATATATGTGTTTGTGTTTTTTTTTCTTAATCTACTTATACATGATACATAATGAATTAGACTTAAGGTGTGTCATTTTTTTGTTGTCCGCATGACGTCGCAGATATTATCGGCCACAAATACCAACCTATCTTTTTGTCGGCCGTAATTTTCAGCGACAAACACCAACCTATCTTTTTGTTGGCGGCAATCTTCAACCGGGCACATTGGTTTCTGTCTCTCAATTGTCACTTTTTCTTTTTACCTCTTTAATTGGTAGATAATAAATGTCAAATCTCATTGGCAAAACATAACAAAATTGTCAAATACTTATACGGTGTTTATGTGGCATCAGATTTTGATACGCAAAACAACACCTTTTAGCCTTAGATAGTTAATAATTGTTCAACATAAATGGACATCATCACGATACATGATCACAAACATTGATGATTTAGTGGTAATCAAATTATTTTAGTAATAGAATTTGCACGACGCAATTCGTTCAAACATTAATTTTACAGAGGTTGGGAAGTATGTATTACAAATTTGTCTAAGATGAATTTATTTTTAATACAACCAAAATGTTGGGGCACCCTTGCAAGATATTAGGGATAGCGCCCCTAGTTGGGTCCAAACTTAACCAAGTTTTAACCATGTATTGACAACACCAATAAGTCAATCTTGGATATATAACTTCTCTATATCCAAATCATGGATGTAGTAAGTATAAGTAATACATTTTGTGGAGCTTAAGAATTTTAATTCTTTTATCATCATCTAGTTTGGTGATTTTGATTATGTGCCTAGTTTACAAAGTTGTTAGTTATGGTATCATCACCATAATTTGAATTTTATGATTACCTAGGCATAAGGGTCAAATATCAAATTTGGAAAGTGATTTATACAATCTTACTTGATATCCAAGATCAATTATGCAATTATAGAACAATACATTTCGTTCATCACATACTCCAACAAACGGTGAATTTAGATTGTATTATATAAATTAATATCGGTAAAATAGACAAAATAAACATAAGTTTGAAAGTTAGCTAAAATATATTTAAATAAATGCATAATCCTAAAATGGTTTATCTAAAAAAAAAATTTATTATTTGAATGTGTATAGTTTTTAAAACATGTTAGTAATATTGCTCAATACATTATTTACTCGGTTGTGTTTGGCTACATAATTGTTTTTCACATGCTTATAATTTCTCATATTATTTTTACATTGATTTTTGAGCAAATCATAAAAATGGTCCTTATGGTGCCCTTAAATCTTACAAGTCTAGTTAACAAGATTGTTTTGTTTCTAAAGTTTTGTGATACTTATCGTCAATGTGCTATATAACGTGAGGTGCGTTAGGATGGCAATGTCAACCCTCAAACTTTACGAATCGTGGCAAGTCGCGATATTTATTAAGGCGATAAATAGTGTGTGTGTGTGTGTGTGTGTATATATATATATATTCTACTATTATTCATTTTTATATACATATACAACTTAAGACGACATTTTTTCAAGGTGGTGCGTCAAGTACAAGCCTTGGGGCCATGATACACTATGATGAGCTTTTTATAACCATGCCCATGGTCCCTACCTAATGCTAGTCTTTATTTCAGATGAGTAAGCCAATAGGTCGGGGGCATTCCAACCCGATGATTGAATCCCAAATTAGAAATCACAGCAAGAGAACTAAAGAAGAAAGAACGAATACCTAATTTCCAGTGAGTGTTGGATGTTGCGGTGAATCAGAGAATGACGATCGGTGTGACCGGAGAGTTAGAGATAGGGAGTGGTGAGACAATAAGCATCCAGACTCCAATGAGGCACGAGCGACGATGGTCGATGGGGACGGTTGGATGGAACTCAGGAACCATGTCGATTTCACTTCTTGTCGCTTCAATCTTTGGTTTGGAAATTGGACTATGGAGAAATCGGAAGGGGCCACAACCCAATTGTGAAACTAACAGGCCTATAATTAAAATTTTGAAGTAATTTTTGCTAGTTCTAAGCCAAATATTGTTGGATTCACCAAAGCATGGTCATTTTGGGTTGCCTTCACCAAAGCAACTTGACAAGGTAATTTAAGGGGAGAGAGAGAGAGAGAGAGAGAGAGAGAGAGAGAGAGAATATTATGGTTTATTAATATATTATAAGAATAATATATTAAAGGAGAAATCATATTTATTTGATTAGTGTTGGTCATAAATAATTAGAAATTAATTTGGTGACTAAAGATCAATTAAATAAAGGGGCATAAACTATCAAATATATGATAGTTGAGTTTTAGGCTAAGAAACCTAATGGACTAAAGGGGGGAACGAAATTATGATGGGTATCCATCATATTTTCGTCCAAGGCCTTATTTCAGAAGGTTCCTTGGGGTGCTTGGTGGCTAAGTTGTCCATTAGGGTTTAGATTGAAACCCTAGCAGCCTACAGTATAAATATGACCCCTAGGCTATGAAAATCGGCTACACTTGATTCCAAGAGAACCCTAGGGCCGATTTTAGCATCTCTCACCCTCTCTCATATTTCCGTCTTGCTTGTGGGGTTTGTGAACCATTAGAGGAGTTACAATTGTGACTCTAAGCTCAAGATCAAGAAGATTACAAGGATTTCAAACTATTTGAAAGAGGTAAACACTTAGATCTGTTCTTATGATGTTGATTTCGAATTTTATATGATAGATCTAGGGTTGCAAGTCTTGGATTCAAAGTATGTACAATAGAGAAACCTAGATCCACGCATTAGGATTTGTATGAGCACATAGGATTGTTCTTATGCATAAAACCCATCAGTGGTATCAGAGCCATGATTGGTTTCTGTTGTATGTGATGCTTTAACTGTTTGATTGCTGGAAAATCATTTTTTGTGCTAACTGTTTGAGGAACTCGACGAGTTGGATGAACTCGACGAGTTTAGCGGTCAGACAGAGGATATTTCGGGATTTTGTTGCTGTTTTGTCATGGGATTAATGCCTAAATCGTTTTTTGAAGATAAATTCCGGTTTTTATTGTTATTGAATGATTATCCCTGGCAAAACAATAGATAATTTCAAATCTTTTGAATAATAGTTTATTTATATGATAAATATGGTTATTTATTTTATTTGGTAATTATCTTGTAACTAAAATTAGATTAAGTCAAATATAGATAATTATGAAATTAATTGTTTAATTTGAATTATTTGTTATTTGATCCTTTTTATTTTGAAAAGTTCAAAAATTGTCCTCAATTTTTGAAATTTAAATTTTATGATTAAAAGTTTAATTTTAAGTAATTTAAATTTCAAACCCTTAGAGTTTTACAAGTTTAAAATTCAACCTTATACTATTATATTATTACAAGATTAATATATATATATATATATATATATATATATATATATATATATATATATATAAGATCAAAGTTAGTCTTATCGCTAGTAGGTCTCATTCACGAATCCGATCTATAAGGTGGGTATAAGGTTGCTGCCTATAAAATGACGCTTAATGGGTGTACACTCACACCCACCGCTTGCTTAATTGGTGGAGGGTCGTTAGCCGAACGAATAGGATAGGGTGCTTAATACCTCATTACAAGTATAATGAATATTGCAAAGTAACTAACATGTTTTTACAAATTCTCAATCTTAGTTACTTTAGGGGAAAATGTGAAAATGATGCTATTCCATGGAATTACACTTTGTACCCTTGTCAAACGTTAGTAGAGCATGTGTGGTTAACCGACACACTAATTTGGGATTAGCATTGGTAGCAAAGGGTGGCTCGATGTTTATCATAGATCAATCGAGCGTATGTGGTTAACCGGCACATTGATTAGGTGATAGAGACATTAAGTGCACCATGTTGATTCGCATGGTTATTCACAACTTGTTTGCAATCCTCGGCATCCCAGTCGCAAAGTTGAAGTACATATCGAGATTTAAACATGTCATTGAAAAGTTCAATGAATCTAAAAGATCTAGGAGTTTTCAAATACATTTAAAACTTAAATCTCTTTTTCGTTTTTCATGGTGAGAAGTAGTGAATCGTCATTCACTTACCTTCAAATTATTTCCTTTTAGAGTATGGCATCCCTTTCTAAGTTGTAAAGAATGTTGTTGGGTCCTAGCCCTAATTTCTCATTTGGGTGTTTAATTAGGGACTCATTTCTAATCAAACTTTGTATGTTTTCTTTTTCAGATGTGTGCTAACAACAACAACAACGCTTTTGGGTCATTCTTGTTGATGAACCTATGTTAAAAGGTGACATTTGATGGGTCAAACTTCAACGAGTGGATGAGGTACATTCACATGATCATACGCTACAAGGACAAAGAATACATCCTCAATGAAAAGCTTGAGAAGATCATCCCAGATGTTGTTACTCCTAAAGAGTTGGCCGCCTTTGAGGCCCACGAGCGTGATGCTACGAAAGTTCATTGCATCATGCTGGCCACCATGAACCTCGAACTCCAAAATTCCTATGAGGACATGTATCCGTATGAAATGCATCAGGATTTGCTGGACAGGTACCACCAAAGCGCGAGGCAAGAGCACTATGAGCTCATTACTAACATGATCACTGCTAAGATGGGGAGTGGAGAATCCCTAAC